CCCCCCTCCAGTGATTACTAGTTTCTGAATGTTGTACTTCGCTGCCGTCCGCACGATCTTACGTGTATCTGACCACATAATCATGGACCACATTTATGAACGACCTGGATGTATCTGGCTGCAATTACATCTGACCACATAATCATGGACCACATTTATGAACGACCTGGATGTATCTGGCTGCAATTACATCCAGAATTATGATGTTACCAGAGCCCGGCAGAACTCGCATGGGGCGTCCACGGTCCACCCACCCGGGCTACACCTTTTTTTTCTTTTGGCATTGGGACAATTTTGCGCCCACTGAGACATGCCCAAATCCGGCCTTATCTTTTGAGTACGGTGATATATCACCAAATGGTGTTTATGGGGGTATAAGCGGGGTTCGAAAGGGCTTGAAGGGGCTTAAAGGGGTGTAAAGGGGTATGATACAATTTAGATTTTTTTCGTCTTCTGATTCCGTTATTTCCATAGCGAATTTCGTGGTTACCTCAGGCAAAAGATGTTTGGTTTGCAATTCTGCATGACATAGTTTTTTTCTTTTCTTTTCTATTTTGACATAGTTTTTTTCTTTTCTTTTCTATTTTGCGCTCGCACTGGCCAGGACCTTGACTGGGACTTTGCCTGGACCTGGCCCACCCGGGACAATCTGAGGCAACCCGGGGCGACCGGCTGAAGTAACACAGATCCAGAATAAGTGAAAAAAAGTACTAGTTTGAAGGACCCGGACCATGATATGTACAGTGGCGACCAGCTTCTGCCACTGTGCATATCATGGTTGCGCAGGACCTGGACCCAGACTGGACTGGACCCGAAACCGGATGCACGTCAGGAACTCCGGACATGATCCGGACCTTCTGGACATAACGGATGTGGGCAGTCCGGGGGGGGGAGAAAGAAAAAAAACTGCCAGGATGGGTGACATTGGGTATACAGCCCTGCCGAGGGTGCTGTCATCGGTGTGACTTGTGTCAATCCTTTCACAGCACGGCCAATACCCTGCACCCCTCTGTTCCTCCTTGACGTCCATGTCTTCTCCGAGATTCTCCCTCCTACGCCGCTGTTGTCCTCCCTCCTCTGCGTCTCCTGCGTCATCCACAACTCCTCCCTCCTCCATGACTCCTCTCTCTCTCTCTCTCTCTGTGTTTGTGTGTGTGTGTGTGTGTGTGTGTGTGTGTGCGTGTGTGTGTGATGGCGATGTTGGCTCGATGATGGCGACCACGTGCACATGGCAGGAGCAGCCACGACGATGGCGATGGGGGAAGCGCTGCAACGACGACGTCACCCGCTCGTTGCATTCCAGCGGGCTGAATGGCGGGCGGGGGGAGTTTCGATAGCATAACAGCGGGCTGAATGGCGGGGGTTGCCCCCCAAAACGAGGCCACACCAAGAATGCAGAGCCCAGAGTGAAAGGAAAAAAAGATTAAAAAATCTAAATCCTAAGAAGCGTGCGTCCAGCCATGTATGCAGAGGCCCAACGGGTCGAAAAATTACCAGAGACAATTTCTGGGGTCGGCCTCGACCCAACGAAGGGTCCAGGCCGACCCGTTCTTGAAAAAAAAATCCTCTGGATTTCGCACCTTCCAGACCCTCCGGACCGAACGTCCATGCGGACATGGTACTACGGACTGTCTGGAACTTGGTCTGGACGTCCAGAACGTAACCATGGTACATATAGAGAGGATAATTATATATATATCTATTTGACGATATATATATATATATATATAAAAAGGACTGCTCCTTCCCCGTCCAGAGATAGCATGTCTACTTTAGTTGCCTAACAAGCAGCAGGTTTTGTGTTCGATTCTTGGATTGGACATGCATGCATTTTGCTGCCACGGCTGCTGGACTGACTGACCTCATGGTCAACTGCCATGGTCCTTTTTCCTTTCTTTTAGGGAAAATTGCGTCTGTACCCCACTTAAAGATGGGAATACCCGCTATATACCCAGTCTCAGAGCCAACTTGCACCTATACCTGGAAAACTTCGGTGGAAATTGTGTGCATGCCCAGGACTGAGGTGGACCCAGGTTGGTACCGCAAAATTGCGGTTATAACCAACTACCGGAATGCACAAATTATGGACATACCCAGGCAAAATTATGGGCATACCCGGGACTGTCGTGGACCGGCCAAATTATTCATATATCCTACTACCGGATGGCTGAAATTATGCTCATACCCTCCGGCCGCTGGGCCACAACGGTCCACGTGGTGGGCATGAGCATGATTTTATGGTCTGCCATCCAAGGGGCCGCCCCTGGCTGTGGGCACACCCGCAATTTTACCATCTCGTTTCTGGGCAGGGGCAGAATTTCGTTGCCGGGAACTGAAGGCCTGCGCAGGGATCGGGTATGCCGACTGCTATGCCAACAATTTCGCACAAGGGAAAAGGTGGGTACCATTGCAAAGTTGAATGGGGGCAGGGTATAGATGCAAGTTGGGCTCTGGGACTGGGTATGGCGGATATTCCCATCAATAAATGGGGTACGTCAATTTTGATATTTTCCTTCATGTTTTTTCTTACTTGCACGTATCCTGGCCTGCAAATCTTTTTTCTCTTTTTTTTTTTGGGTGGGGAGGGGGACAATTGCCTCCTCCATTCTGTTCATGGGAAGCAGCACATGCAGGGAACCGCGCCCAGCATCCTGTATGGAATTATACAAAACATGTAATCAAGATGCTTATTTCGCCTGATTTTCAACGACTGGATGACTATAGAACCCACTTTCCCAACGTGTCCCCCATCCGACTTCTCGGACCCCTTCCCTCCACACCCGCTAGCCCTGCTTGAGGTGAGGACTCAGAACAGACTGATATATTTTTTTTTCCTCTTTTTTTTTTTCCTCTCTTTTTTTCTTCTTTCTTTTTCTTTTTCCTTTTTTTTTTTTTTTTTTTTTCTTTTTTCTCTTTGTTTTTCTTTTTTTTTTTTTTTTTTCTCTTTTTTTTTTTTTTTTCTTTTTCTTTTTCCTTTTTTTCTTTTTTTTTTTTTTTGGGACGTCCGCCCTCTCTCCTTAAAAGGAGTCAAGCTCATGCCTTTCTGAACCGAAGTCGTACTTCTGTAATGGTTACATTTATGATTTCTCATTTTCTCCGTGCCCTGAGCTTTCCCGACCTCCGGCACCCCTCCGCAGACCGGGCACCACTCTTAAACCACCAGTACTTGGCCCACACATCGGCCGCGGGCGTTTCCCGTTAACGCGCCGCGACTGATGGTCTTCGGCCTACCGGACCGCAGTGGCTGGAGGCGCCAGCCAAAAGAAGTCGAAACGGCGCGTCGGCGGCTCGGTAAAACTTGGCGCGCAGGGCATATTCACTCTCTCGGCATCAATAGCTGGCGCCAAGTACTGGTGGTGGTTTAAAGGCACGTCGTGTGATAATACAACCATGGTGGAACAGGACAGAACCCTCGGAAGATCAGCTGCACTGTTAACCCTCGGGCTTACAGGAGCAGTCAATGGTGGCAGCCAAGACCTTATTGTTTTCTTTACTCATCCCTGGCTTTCTTGGGTGGTTTTCTGCACCTCTCCACAAATCCGTACAGATTCAGGATTTCAGTCCAATCCGCTTTGCTAGTGGAAAGTCGCTGGATTGGCGACACACTTCTTTTCTTGGGTGTTTTTTTTCTGCACCTCTCCACAAATCCGTACAGATTCAGGATTCCAGTCCAATTCTCTTTGCTAGTGGAACTTCACACCTGGTCACATCACAAATGCATTAAAACCACCAGTACATATGTGCACCTGCAGGCGCTGCATTACGCTCCAAGCTTTTTCAAACTGCCAGTGGCACACTGTTTTCTTTTCCGACTGCCGCCACCAGCCACTGTGGTCGCTAGCTCCGACCCATAACTTTTATGAGTGGGCAACGAATGAATTTCTACAAGGCCAGGGGTCCATGTACTAGCCGTTCCGTACGTCCGAAAGCAGTGGCAACATGCGACATACTGGGGCAAACGGTCCTGGGGTGCTGGCATGAATCATTCAAGTGGAAACGTTGCGGCACTGGAACAATAGCTTACAGGCTGTAAGCCGCAACTTTCGGAAGTACTGGTGGGTTAAGGCATCTGACAGTTGATGAGCCAGAGAGCAGCAGTTCAATTCTTTCAGGGTCGGATGGAAGGAAATGAAAATTTTGGGCCACAACTGTATACAAAAAGGGGGTAACCGTTGAGGTGGTGAGGCAGCAAACCCTGCTCAACAGGTGGGTTAAGGCATCCGGCTGTGTTTTTTTTTTTTTTTTTCAAGCCCAGGGTGTTGAGGTGGTGAGGCAGCAAACCCTGCTCA